GTTTGAATCTGACAATTCTCAGTTGATCTCTTTTATCACTGGTAAAGAAAGCTCTTGGCATCAAGATATCTTTTTTGTTTGCAAAGATATTAAGCTCTTGTGTGCAATAAAGAATGTTAAATTCTAGTGGACTCTTGAGAATCTAACAGGGTTGCCCATGCAGCTGCAAAACTTGGTTTGAAGATTCAACTTTGGTTGTCTGATGCTGCTCCTCTCTGTCTCTCTATTGATATTAGAGAAGATGTTATTGCTGTTGTTAGTCCAAGTTAATGTGTTTTCCTTTTTTCTTAGTTTCTTTAGGTTTTGTTCCTTTTGTTTCTTGTTTCTTTGCTTTTATTCCATTGCGTGATCTCTAGCAATGCTAACAACTGAGCAATTCCCTATATTATTACATGAAGCATTAAAGTTTAGTTTAATGATCCCCATTTTGGGACTTCTCCACAAGATAGTCTTTCACACCTTTACATCAAGGTCATGGTAAGTGTTTTTTGTACATTCTAGGTTCTCTCACACTTCCTTTACCACCATTAATCCTTGACAGTTTGGTCATCCTCAAAAGGACCTTCAATAATTGGGTTAACAATTATCCAAATTTGTTTTGCAATCTTACAACTTTTAATAATATGATCTGTATCCTCCTCAGTCCCACAAAAACAACGCAAGACATCGATGTTAGTTCCTCTTTTCCTAATATTACTCTTTGAAAGAAGTCTATTATTAAGAAAAAGGACAATGAACACTTTAATTTTTGGGGACAATTTAAATTCTAGACATTACACAACCAATTTGTTGAAGAAACTACAACTCGCATAATGAGTACTTCAACATATATGTCGTCTTGATAGAGAACTTTCCTTTAGTATTAGGACCCCAAACCATCTTGTCTTCCTTTGAGTTTGAGTGAATAAATATCAAATTTTCCTTAACCAGATTTGATTATGGACCAATTTGCAAGTTTTGTTCTCATCCCAACAAGTTGTATCATGGTCAATCACATCCGAGACAAGAAGATTGTTATTCTCTATCTCCTATTGATTTATAATTTCTGCTATTGTCTTATTACCTACCCATTGATCATTCCAAAAGTTAACAGTTCTATCATTGCCTACTGCCCATCGAAATCCCTCTCCAAACCCAAGAAATTCCCTTTTTTACTTTAACGTTCTAGAAATTTCATTTTTCAAGTACTTATTTTTCATGATTTTCACATAAATATTCTCTTCATCATTTAACATTTTCCTTCCCAGCTTTACCAAATTTGCCTCGTTTACCAATAAAGCATTCTCATACCCAAACCACCCCATCTTTCAATTGCATTAGTCCACAAAAAAATTCTTTGGATTTTATCAATCTCATTAATAAAATTACTAGGGATCTTCAAGGATCTCATGATGAACTGGGGAATCATGTTAATTGTAGAATTAAGAAAAATCAAACTTTCAGCTAAAGAAAGAGAATTCTTCTTCCATCAAGCCATTTTTAGAATTACTTTTTCGTTAATATTTTCGGATGTGTTCTTGGGGACTCTGCCATTAATTAGAGGGGACCCCAAATACAATTCTGGATTTGTTTCCATGGGGATTCTAAGAATTTTTGCTAGGATTTTTTGAAGTCTATAAGGAATACTTTTTAAAAATTTGACAGAAGATTTAGCAAAGTTTGGGCACTAGCCAAAGGCTTTTGCAAGGTTTGTCAAATGTCTTTAATTTTCAAGCACGTCAGAATAGATGTATTTGCAAAAATAAGAGTCATTTGCAAATTGCAAAATAAGTGCCTTTAGAAATCTTACACCCAATAGGGTTTCCTGATTCCTGAGACTCCCTTTCCAACTTCTTTGATAGAGTTACAACACATGGAACAAAAATGTATGGGGAGAAAGGGTCTCTTGCCCAATCCCCCTATTTGGCTTAAATTCTCTAGTGGGGCAACCATTAATTAAAATCTGATAGGTCTCCATCTTAATGCATTCCATAACCCAAGATATCAATTTCTCATGAAAACCAAATTTTCTAAGGACCTTTACAATGAAGTCCCACTCCAACTTTTTCCATGTCAATTTTGCAAACCATAATACCTGAGCTCCCATTTCTTTTCTTCATAGAATAAAACATTTCATAGGCAATGAGAATGTTATCATTAATTTGTCTATTTGGAACAAAAACACTTAGAAAGATTTGTTTAAAATCACACACATTTTTTCACTGTGAAAGAAAGATTTCACAACTTTACAAACTATTTCTTCAACAATATTCCATATTTTTTCTTTTAAAATAGAGCATTTAACCCATCAGGACCTGGAGCTTTAAGGTCCTTGATTGTTTTAATAGCTTCAAATATTTCTTCATTTGTAACTTCTTTAGTGATTAGCCTATTCCATTCCTCAGAAATACAATTTCTAATATCACTAATAAAATCATTTACTCCACTAGTTCCCTCATATTTGAATCTTTGCTCAAACTTGTCAGAGAAATAGTTGGATACAACCACCTGTTTATCAACCCAAGAGCCATCATCAATTTTCACCCCTATAATAATCCTATTCCAAGATCTTTTGATGGTGGTTGTAATGTAGAAAATTTCGTTATTTTTATCACCCATCTTAATCCAATTTATTCAAGATCTCTGAGCCTAGTATGCCTCCTCACGAGCTAAGATCTTATCAAGCTATTTTTGGAGAGCACCCTCAAAATTTAATAATGCAACATTATCAAATTCCCTAGAGATCTTATTTTGGGCTTCCTCAATCCTATCCATTAAAATTTCCTTCATTATGAATATATCAATTAATTGATTTTTATTCCATTCATTTAAAGTTTTAACAAGGTTATTTCTTTTCCTAACAAATTGCATAGCTCTGGATCCATTTTCCTCTTTGTTTCAAGCTTGGCTCACTACATCATCCTTATTTGGGTCTAACACTGCATTGATTCAAACCTGAATGGTTTGGTACCCTAACTGATAGATAAATCAGTGTGGAAGAGATGGGGTGAGTGGCCTGATGCTAAAAACGGTAAATTTATGAGATTTGCATTAGGAAACCTCCATGGTAAATTTATTTTTCCACGTAAATTGATTCCCTTTCATCTCCAAGTCCATAAGATGGCACTCAGATATGAAGTCATTAAAGGCACAGATCTGGCTAGGACAAACTTCTCCTCCCCTACTTTTGTTTTCAGTGGATATATAATTGTTTAAATCTCCAACAATACACCATGCAACCACAATATTTGAGGCAAATTTGCTAACCCATCTTCACATTGTTTTTCGTTCATTTTTTATTTGGAGGGGCGTAAATAAATGTGCAAAACCAATAATTATTTGAAGAGTGCTCATTCACAAGAAAATGGGCCAATTGCATTGACTAAGGTCCCATAAAATCCAAAGTTCCCCAGAGAAACCAATAGGATCAATGAGAACAAAATAATTCATATTAAAATGATCTAACAATAAATATATATATATATATTGCATTTGTCTCCATCAAAAAGCAAATACTAGGTTTTTTTAATTCTAATGAGGTTAACAACATAGTGTTRMAACGGAGGCCTACCTGCCCCTCTTACATTCCAACTAAGTAGCTTCATTCATTAGTGGTGGACTTTGAATCAGGACCCATGTTGTTCCCCTCATCATTCATCTTTTCCTTACCATGATTTATTTGTAGTTGTGTCTTGCCTTTCTCATCTACTTGATGTTTTCATCATACTCTAGGGTATTCTGATCGTCCCAGTCCTCCATCTCATTCCCCTACATGGCTACATCCTCTCCATCATCATTGTCCTCACCCTCATCAAATACTTCATTCTCATCAAGTCTTTTCTATGTTTGATATCATAACCTTCATACCGTGTCAGCCCATCATTACCATCTTCACAATCCTTCACTAATAGACATAACATACCCAACCCCTTTCTAGCCTTAAAAGGACAAAATCCAATCATTTCCTTTATTCATCTTTTTGGACTTCTTTACCTTCTTAATGCCCAACTCTGAACAGCCCCCTTCTCAATCTTGCAAACACCCTTGAAACCTGGATTGTCCAAAAGCTTCTCTGATTTACAAGTAAAGCCGTATACTCTCTACAACCAAATCTTAACAAACAATGATTGGAAAATGTTATAAATAATAGAATGTAACGTAAATTACTTATCCTCCCTAGAGTCTCAAGGTAATGGTCTTATTGGTGGATTGAAAAACTGATACGTATGACACACACGAATACATTGTGATATTGCGAACCTTGGGCTGTGTTTGGTTGCAATACAAATAGATTTGCACTGAAGCAAAACCATGGCAGTGCAAATGATTTGGGTGTAAATTCTGACCTATTTTTGTTTCAAAATTAGCTTATTTTGTTTGATTGCAGCAAAAATAAAATAAATTAAGACATAAAGCAGAATAAGGTAGAATCCAAAACAAAATTAAACAAGAATTTGCATCTTTTACATTTGCACTCCCATGTATTTGTACTAGTACAAATAAAATTGCACAACAACCAAACACAGCCTTGCATCCAAAACCCATCTTCAATTTCTGGAAGCTTATGAACCAAGTGCGTGTTTTCAGTTTGGTCAAATTGGTTTTGGATTCTTGATTATAATTTTTTGTTCGAATTTAAAGTCTTTCAACTTCAGATTCCTGACATATTTGACTTTGGTTTACACACCCTGCACTCTTCTTATTCTATTTCGTTGTTCATAGCTGAAACCGTAAGTCACAGTACATTGGACTGTTATCATTACATTTACCGATACCAAAAGAGTTCCACATGTCACTTAGGTGATTTAACCCACCTCAGAGGCTCAGACCAGCCTAAGACTACCATTCAATAACACGATTACTTGGTGCATGTCAGTGAATCATGTCCTTATCTTTTCCACTGTAATGATATAATCCATTGGAAAAATTAGAGGTGAATCATCTATAAAAATAAATTTGAACCAACTTGTTTGATAAAATTAGGTAATAGAAAACCCAACTAAGCTACACTGCTACAGAAAGACTGCCAAAAGGAGAAATTGAGTGTTTAACAATAATGGCCTACATGTTAGGTGTTAAGATCATCATCGCTATGATTCAAGTACATGAAGTATTATAATGTATATGTTTTGAACTTGAAGTACAATTTCAAAACAATATTAACAGATCAATGTGCAGCAGTGGAACCGAGATAAATTTGTAGCTAATTGAACTCCATCTGTATTAAAACCCAAAATTTTCATCCCTTACTCTAGAATACATGTCAGAACAAACTTAAAAGATGTCCAAATCCTTGATGCCTGTGCACCAACCATGTAAGCTGGAAGTATCTACTAAACTCTCAGATGGCAGATAATTGAATTCTGAAGCATTAATCTGATGGAATTTCCAAGGGAATCACTCTGCTAAGCTCAAATTATTAGTCCTAAATACTTGCATTTTATCAAATATAGTAGCATTGAAACGGAAGCAACAAGCAGTTTATTCTGAAAATTGCATAGAACTAATTACATCTTCGTGGCCATAAAATTAGTCTTTCTCGAACTTTGACTATAATCTTGATTTGGTAATTTTGATACAGGAAGTGGCTGGGGAGTAATGTCTATAGTACCTCTTTTTCTAATCTCAACACAGCCATGAAGGCTTCCTGAGGTACATCAACTTTACCTATTGCTTTCATCCTTTTCTTTCCTTCAGACTGATCAAAAGAAGACAAAAGAACAGTTATTGACAACTAAATACTATTTCCATATTAGCTAAGTAATATGTTTGGGTACAACGCTGATTATCATCATTCAGAACAATACACAAGCATGAAACAGGAGCACTAGGATTATATTAGCTTTGTTCTTCTGATTACTAAACCCAGCTGTAATTTGTGGTATATTTTTAGGAGATTTTGGTAGGGGTAAGCACATGGTAGAGCTGATCATGATAACTTGCTGAAGCAAATTGTTCCTAATCTTTCATGGGTTTGATAAACAAGGACAAGGAGAAAGGGGCTGCATGATAGTTTTAGTAGGAAAGTTTCAAAATAGGAATCTGTTCAGGAGACTATATCTCTATATCCAAATGCTGGACCAAATATCATATAAAGTGTGTGAATGAGCATACCTGCTTCCTCAGTAATTTCTTTTTCCTTGTAATATCACCACCTACAAGAAATATAAATTAGTTTCGTGTTTTAAGGTATGAAGAATCCACCTAAAATCAGTGAATCAATGATAAAATGCATATTTCTGCAGAACAAATATTACAGATACACCAACTTCTACGATGATATTGCAAATACCACCAAAAAAGATCCTAATGTATCACGTAAACATTTTGAGATACTTCTAGCATGGGAAGATTGGTCTTGATGACCATTACACATTGTCCTCTTACCATAGCATTTGGCTAGAACATCTTTCCGGATTGCTGATAACGTCTCACTAGCAATCACCTTTGAACCTATGCATGCCTGTCATAAATATACACATTCATTAATAATGATAACCAGAAAAGATAATACAAGTATATCACAGATTCATACAATAATTAAATATATAAGATACAGTCCTGACCTTTAATTTTCCTTTCCACCAGAAGTAAATTTTGGTGTTAAAAAAAGAATAAAAAGAAAAACTAAATAAGCAGAAACCTGCTTGACTTAAGAAAGGGGTTTTTTGGCTTCCTCCAAGAGTAAAGAGATCTTGAACTCTAATGGGATGCACATCAATTGGAGTTTCTCTATTTTTTTTACACTTTACAGGAAAAAAAATAAAGATAGATTTGAGGGCTCAAAGTTGTTTTTTGTTATGGTAGTAATGCTTTTAAAGAGAAACCTAATTTTCATTATATCTTTAATGATAATTTATAAAGCTTAAAGCTGTTTTTCTTGTGATAGTAACGTTTTCAATAAGAACTTATTTTTGCCAAAAAAAATATATATTTTTTCAATAAGAACAGTCCAGGTTTTACAGGTCAATATATTTTACTGGACAAGTTGACAGGCAAATATCAAGTTTATAAGGTTATCAGAGAAGCCTCAGGTGTTCCAGATCTACAAGGGTGCTAGGTGGAAGATTGAATATTTATCAGGGTTACAAGAGAAGCTTATATAGAAAAAAGTGCAATGTCAGCATAATGTGGTGCAGAGATTATGAACAAGTTTTTCTATATTATCCTTTTGTTTCTCCTTATAAACATTGATTTTGATGTGCTGCAATTTCAGTGAAACTAGATTGGAAGTCCAAGAGATGGTGTTAGTTGTAAATTGCAGCACATCAAAATCAATGTTTATAAGGAGAAACAAAAGGTTCGGAGAACTAATTCTAGGTCATTTTATAAGAGCAAGGCTATATGCCAGGAAATGTAACATCAATAGCATTTAAGACCAACATATGAATAAGTCTGTTTTGCATCATCTTTATCAAATAAAAGTTTCCTAGGATGTTACAAGTAACTTCATTTCTTGGATTTCCAAACTTATTTCACTGAAATAGTAGCATTTCAAAATCAGTGTTTATAGAGTGGCGGACCAAAACGTTGGGAGAACTAATTCTGGGTTACTTTACAAAAGCAATACTAAATGTCATGAAACAAAACGTGAATAACATTTAGATCACCATAAATTAAGACCTTGATGGGAACAATAAGTTTTTAACTTCTTGGATTAGTTTCCAAGGTTTGCACTCGTAGGAAATCAAATGGAAAGAAATTTTCAAATATTTTTGTTGAGGCATTGCTGTTCTTGAGCTAAAGAAAACATTTTATTCACAAAACAGAAAGATACAAGGTTTTGGTGACAAGGGATATCACCCCACCACTTACATAAAAAGTTCTGGAGCTTATTATCTTAGTAAAAAGCTATTGCTGGTTTTCCCTTATCAGCTTGATATCTTTTGGTCAAGAATTCAAATATATTTCATAGGAGCTTTGGTAGGGACATCTCATACTTTCTGATCGAATGGTTCATCTCAACTGTGATATAGATCCCACAGAAGGTAAATTCCTGGTAAATTTCATCTTTGGCAGGCAATATCATGCTTATTAGAAACTGTACAAGTTATATAAGACAATTATGCATATAATCCAGAAGTAAACTGGATTAAAGTTCGAAACATCTTAAACTAATAGCAACCCAAATATAAATCATAAAGCTTCCCAAAACTTCTCTGCAACTGAGCTTGACAACAGGTACTAGTTAATGATAAAAAAAGTATATTTTATATGGATACACGAGATTATTTTATGGATTTCAAAGATTTAGAGACTTCTAGTGCACAATCCACTAGAGGAAGAGATGAACCTTACTTGGATGGGTACTTTAAACATTTGCCTTGGTATAAGTTCCTTCAGTTTTTGTGTCAAAGCTCTTCCCACAGCATAAGCCTGCAAATTGATTCCATTGGTACAAAACATTGTTAACTTACATCATTTATATTATAAGCTACCTATATTATCATCCAATCATCATATAATTATCATTGTCATTTTTATAACAACATCAATAAGTAGCATCACATCTCTGCATCCAAGTCTGAGTTATGGGTGGTTATGTAGTCTAGCACAACTAAGCTCTCACCATCCCTTCTCTAGCCACAATATTTTCCATGGAATTTGCTGAAATTCATGTCCATTTGAACCAGATGCACACTCAAGAAGTCATAGCTCGTCTCTCTGTCAGACCCTTGATGGCATCTTTGACCGATCCAATAAAAAACTATAAATCACCTCAGCCTCCACCTGAACTCTTCCTATGAGTTCCCATGCACAATTTAACTGTGCATCCATCATAAGTCTCTTAAAAATGATGTAAGAGCAATTCCCTCGATACAAGACAAGCACAAAATACTATGCTGTCTCCAGGCTAATAGGAAGAATATCTTTTAAATCACATTTTTCCTTGGGGAGTCGCACACAAAGGCATCAACAGCTCCACACACATCCATATCCTTATTTTGCAAAAGTCAAAATATAAAGCAAAACGCAAGTCTTATTGGATTCCTCATATCTTTTTCGTATACAAGATTTAGTAGCATCACCTAATTATCAATTCTTTGACAAAAGTGTTCAGTTTTCTATTGCACAAACGCAGAAAACACCTTATGTAGAATTAAACTGATGAACTAGGCAGCAGAAAAGAAAATTCATTATCACCTTGTCCTTGTGGACAATAGTGGCCAATGGTTCAACAGGATCACCATTAATCTGAATATCCAGCTTTATCAATTCACTTTCCCTATACCTGGAAATTAAGCAAAGAAAAGAAAATCACAAATTAAACTTTGGTGGGAGGTATTTCAATAACATCTATTCTCATTAGATAAAAATCTGTTAGTAAAAGAAATTTCCAAAGGCACTTGAACTTTCAACCTCTAGAGATGAGGACACTGAACATTAAGCAAAAACAGCACACACAACCATCAAGGTTGACCCAAGGGACAAATGGAGAAACAAATGCTGACCAGGCATTACTGTCCCCAACACAAATAGTGTGAAGGCAGGAGTGTGAAGACATGATGCAGTACAGGCTAGCCTAAAATCAAAGCACAAAAGCAGAAATAATTGGACAGCAACAGCATGTTCAGCAGTTTGGGAAAAATAAAATTTAAATCAAGAAGAATAAATTGACCTTTATGACGAAATGGATACTATATGTAGATACACCTAAGGACCCGGGAGGCTAGGACATACTACAGGTACAAGCAATGTTTTAAAAGCACATGGGCCAATTTGCGCCTGAGGCACAAGGCGCAAGGTGAGGCGCGCCTTTTTAAGAAAGGCGCAAAATTACAAAAAAAAAGTCAGAAAATTCAAAAAAAAAGGCAAAATTTTTTTAAAAAATGCAAAAAATTCAAAAAATATTAAACATAATTTTAATAAAAAATATGAACTTAAATTTTAAAATAAATGATTTAAAAAACCTATTATCTAAAATTAAAATACATAAACATAACATGTAAAGTGTATTCAAATGAAAATTTAAAAATAAAATCAAACATACAAAGCATTTTCAAGCATGTAAAACCCACAATCTCTTTTTTTCCTTAATTGCATTCTTCAAGTAGTTAATGTGATGTAAAACATATTGCATTCTTGATTCTGAGTCGCCTTTGTTCCACACCCCTCGAGGCAAGCCTGAACAAGTCTATATTAGGGTCTGAAATTCTTATTTTTCGCATAAAAAATAATGATTTTATAACTTTCATTGCCTTTTAAGAAGATACTTTATTGCAATGAATGAGTGAACAACATTAGCAAATAGGGGGTTCTCGGAGCTTCGGTAAGTGAGAGAAGTGAGTGAACCGAAGCGGGCTTGCCGTGGTCCCCGGCCCAACCGTTAGACTCAAAAAAATGCAAAAAGGCGCATGCCTAGGCTGAGGCGCAAGGCACATCAAGCGCACGCCTTTTGAAAGGGGTGCGCCTAGGACCTAGGAGAGGCGCATACCCCAAAATGCGCCTCACCTATGTGCCTAGACATGCCTTTTAAATCACTGATCTCGATTACTAGAGTATAAGGCCCCACATCAACTTTTGTTTGCTACAGCTCCGTTGTCCTCCATTGTCCCCTACTCACGGTAAACTTGATCCTCGTGCTATTCCTTGTGTGTCCTTTGCTACCCTTTATCTCAAAAGGGTTATTGTTGCTATGATCCTACCTCATGCAAGTACTATGTATCCGTAGATGTATCCTTCTTTGACAGTCAACCTTTCTTCTCGATTTCTCCTCAAGGGGAGAGTAGGGTTGAGGAGAAACACACCCAGGCTCAGACTCAATTACCTCTTCTTCCTGATCCTCCTCTATTTCGTGTCTTTCTTTGCCGCCACAAGAGCCAGCAGAGTTCAAGAGCAGTGGAACTTGAAACCATGCAACCAACATCATCGGATTCTCCAGAGGTAGATCCTCCTCATCAGCCAGGTACACTTGTTCCTATTGATATGCCTGAACCTCTCAATGTTGATTCCCCTATCATTAATGATCTTGATGTTCCTATTGCTAAGAGAAAGGGTGTTAGATCCTGTACTACTAATCATCCTATCTCTCACTTTGTGTCCTATGACCATATTTAACCTTCATATCGTGCATTCCTCTCTTCTGTTGACAGTGTCTCTATTCCTAAGAATGAGGCAAAAGCTTTATCCAAACCAGAATGGACAGATGCAATGAAGGAAGAAATTGATGCATTGCACAAAAATGGCACTTGGGAGTTAGTGGATCTTCCTGAAGGGAAGGAACCAATGGGATGCAAGTGGGTGTTGACAGTAAAGCATAAGGCTTATGGAACTGTTGAAAGGTACAAGGCCAGATTGGTGGCAAAAGGTTTTACACAGGTATATGGAGTAGACTATGCAGAGACATTTGCTCCAGGATTCTTCTCTCATTGGCAGCAAATCTTGACTGGGAACTTCACCAGTTGGACATTAAGAATGCTTTCTTGAATGGTGACTTAGAAGAGGAAGTGTACATTACTCAACCTCCAGGTTTTTGTGCCAAAGGTAGTGAGCAGAAGGTGTGCAGGTTAAACAAATCTTTATATGGGTTGAAACAATCACCTCGGGCCTGGTTTAGTAAGTTCCACTTAGCAGTTCACCAAATGGGGTTCAAACAATGCCAATTAGACCACACTCTGTTTGTGAAGAAAGGTGAAGGGAAAATTGTAGCTTTAATTGTGTATGTGGATGACATAGTTATCACAGGAGACTGGGAGACTGAAATACAGAAACTGAAGAAATTCTTAGCCACTCAATTTGAGGTGAAAGATCTAGGACCCTTATGTTATTTCCTTGGAATTGAAGTTGCCCACTCTCAAAAGGGCATCTTTATTTCCCAACGGAAATATGTACTAGATCTACTAGAAGATACAGACAAGCTAGGGGTGAAACCAATTGAACCTAACCATCAACTGGAAGACAGTTAGGGGTAGTTCTTGAAAGATGTGAAGAAGTTTCAGAGACTTGTAGGGAGACTCTTATTTTTGTCTACGATCAGGCCTAATATTGCTTATGCAATGGGTGTCCTTAGTCAGTTCATGCACAACCCTAGGACAAATCACTTTGAAGCTGCAGAGAGGATCCTTAGATACCTCAAGAAGTTTCTAAGAGCTGGTTTGTTGTTCCAGAAACATGGACATTTAAAGGTGGAAGTATATATTGATGTTGATTGGGCAGGGGCAGTCGATGACCGAAAGTCTACCAGTGGGTATTGTACCTTTGTAGGAGGAAACTTGGTCACCTGGAGAAGTAAGAAGTAAAGTGTGCTGGCTAGATCCAATGCTGAAGTAGAATACAGAGCTATGTCTCACGGAGTTGTTGAAATCATGTGGATAAGAAACCCGTTAGGTGAACTGGGTTTTGCAGTTAACACCCTATGTCACTCTATTGCAACAATAAAGCTACAATCAACATTGCTGCTAATCCAATCCTCCATGATAGGACGAAACACATTGAAATGAACAAGCATTTTATTAGAGAAAAACTTGTGAGTGGAGAAGTGTGCACTCCATATATCAGCTCAGAAGAACAACTTGCAGACATCTTCACCAAGGGTCTTCATCATGTGTAGCATAATGATTTGTGTGACAAGTTGGGCATGATTGACATCTATGCTACAACTTGAGGAGGAGTGTTGAAATAGTTTATTTTATTTCTTGTTTATTATTTTCTGTCTTGTTAGAGTCTGTTTGGTCGGTTTGAAGTCTTTTTTATTTTCTGTTATTGTACTTTATTTACAGCAGGGGCACAAGGGTCTTTTTCCCTTTTATTTTAGATGCCCTATAAATATTAATAGAATCTGGCACCGCCAGAACTATTCCATTGTCACGAATCTCTCTTCTTCTCTTCTACCTTCTCTCTTCTTCTTCTCTTCCCTTCTCTCTCTTATTCCTAGTCGACTTTACTGTCAAGAGATTCAACTCATAACGGGTTAGCCAAGTTATATGCCCACCCTCTTACAATTGTATAAGAGAGCCTTTTTATGCCTAGTCTCCACTCCTTAATGGAAACACTTAGGCATGTATATATGAAATAATTTGCTTAGTTGAAAGAAACCTAACCGCACTATAAACCAAAACCAAATATTGGTACAACCACTTGCCTACATAATAATTTCTACTTGTTTACATATATAGATGTAACCCAAGAACCTAACATTATAATTTATGATCCAATGAAATACCTCATCTTTGGAGAGGGCTCGTTATTGACACGTGTCCATGAATCAACTCATGTTCGACTCTCCAAAATGTGTGTTGGACTTGGCTACGTTGCAAATTAGGCAGATATACCAAAATGCTTGCCACATCAACTCTCAAAGCTTATTTATCCTCACTTTAAATGCCTATATGTAACAGTGGTCCAACCATTTAAACTATCTAATAGGGCACTCTAGAATTTGTATTTTCCCAACTTACATATAGCTTATAATCCATTGTTTATTAGATCTTTTCTAATCAATAATGGAATTAATAAAACAATAAAAAGCAACTAGTGTGGTTACATGGCAAATAAGAAAAGGTTGTGACTTTTTTCTTTTTTGCTGGCAAGTTGTGAGTTTAACTTGTCAATCATGAAAGTAATTTAACTATTTTGTGCTTGTATAGCCCAATGCATTTTAAGAATAATATTAAAAAATTTCAACATTTAATAAAATATTATTTATGTGAGATGTGTCCAGAAATCCAAGCTTTTTGGGTTCATCCAAGGACACCAGACATGTGTCAGATTTTGACTCCCATGCCCGAGTCCATGCAACACTATGAGATACAAAAATATGGAAAACAGAAAAAAAGGGGATGGAGATGAACTAAAGCTAAAGCCAAAGATCATAGATAACATATGCTCCATTCTATAGGTTAAGGTGGTTAAATTACACATGTTTAGCACAAAGGTTTCGCATGTATAAGTGCTTTGTGTGATTCTTCCATCTTTGTTTCCTCAAACATGCAACCTAATACAACACAAATATGAAACTAAAATAATTGCTAACATGCTAATTGACACCTCAAAAGAGAGAGAAACTACAAAAAAAAAAAAAAAAAACAGTTTTCGTAAATATTGTAGAAGACAATATTTTAATAACTCGTATCTTTGACTAAAATTGTAAGTAGCATTCCAATTAAGGAACTTTCCATGCTCTGTAAATCTAAATTGCATGTTTGAATTATAAGATTTTCCTTATTAAACCAGGAAGAATTGATATTGTGCAATCAAAACTAGTACTTACCCAACGAAGGAGTACTCCATGCTAGCATAGCCCTTACTTCGGGACTTCAGTTGATCAAAGAAGTCCCCAACCATCTATTTTACAAATCAATGGAACATATAAATGTAAAGCAAACAATATTTCCAAATACAAAACAACAACAATAACAAATTGTACAAAGACAAAAGCTTGCCTCTGATAGTGGCAATTCATAGGTGATTGATGCTCTATTCTCAGTGATGTATTTCATTTCCTTAAATTCACCTCTTCGATCTTGAGCCAGCTCCATAAGAGGACCAATATAATCTTTTGGTGTGAGCATTTCAATCTATAAATTCAACTAAAAGTCAGCTAATAGTTTTCAATAACCAAATTTCCAAACCAGCATTTATAGTTAGTAGATAATCAAACAAGTCTAGAGAAAAATTGGTTTTAAGTACAACAAATAACCTTAACAAACGGCTCCTCTATCGACCTCCTCTTACCAGGTTCAGGAAGTAAAGATGGATTTGAGCATTCAACCTGAATCAAGCAAATACTTTTTAAGAAATTTTCTTGTATAGTTCATAGTTAATAAAGCTATCTAATCACTATTGCACATCTCATAAGAATAGTGCTAAAAATATCATGATGAGCACTGAAGGCAAAACCATAAACATCACTTTTAATTGAATATACAAAGAAAACAAAAAAGAATATGAATATTAATCATCAAAAAGTAAAACAAAATACAATTATTCTTTAAAATGCATTGATCTAGTCATAATATGACTGCATGTATTAAGGCTATACCTGGTTTTGCCATTTGATTTTCACATGTTTAGGTACTGAAGTTAAAATGTGAAAAAGCCTAATTGAGCTAACTTATTCAAAAAATCGGTTCAATGCCTTCACAAGGATTTCAATGAATAGTAATTATGAAGATGAAACCAAGGTTCTCTTGAAAAGACAAGAGAGAAGTAAACAGACATTTGTTATTAATCAACAAAATTAAATTGAAGATACAATAAAAGTAACTTTGGCACTATATTATCTGGACACAGCAAGGACACTGCTGGATACAGTATCAGAAATGAATTTTACACAAAAATTGAAGTATCCAACAAGATACGGAACTCTTGTACAGGTGTCCAGTTATCATATCTGTATTCTGAAAGCTCTTTCTCTTTCCCATTAAGCACTGATATGATATCTGCCATTTTAGCAGGTACTAAGTAATATAGGGATTTTTTCGTGGATAAACTAAACTAAAGAACTACAAGAAAATAGTTTATCCTATGGCTTAGATTCATGAAAGGACCAAAAATATGCCAAACAAAAAAAAAAGGTTTATCATGAAAAGCACCACAAATACATTTAGGTTGCTGAATATATTAGAAGATAGCCAACAATCATTCTGCATGAACCAGGCCATAAAATACTCAAGAAATGAAAACTCCATAGCAACAGAGACAGTAAAGGTTTGAGAAGAAATTACAGTATCACCATTTACACAATCCACTCTGTAAACAACACTTGGAGCAGTAGTTATCAGGGTCAAGTTGTATTCCCTCTCAAGCCTTTCCTGAAAGGTGGAAGTACATCAGGAAAAACTCAGTTTAGATTTCCAACAAGCTTAGATATTGCAACTAACCTAGGAACAGCATAGATGGCAAAAAAACAATACAGAGGAACAGTTGGAAGTATGTATACCTGGACAATTTCCATATGAAGAAGGCCTAAGAACCCACACCGGAAGCCAAAACCCATAGCACTTGAGGTTTCTGGCTCAAACTGCAAAGTTGACCTAGTGAGAGTGAGACCAATATGTAACACTAAATCCCATATTGTATAGCAACTTAAAAATTAGCACCAAGTGTTTTCTGGACTCTGAATGGCTAAACCTACCCAAATTCAATTAGAAACAGAAAATAAAAGGCCAACATCTCCTATTCAAGGCACTAAAGTGTTATCTGCACAGTGCTGAGACATTTAGTCACCCTTAATCTCAGCSATGTAGCATATGTTAAAGCATTACATTCCATAGTTTCTAGTGCACTTTATCTCTAGTCAACAATTTCATGTGAAACGTAATTTGAGAGGTAAACAAAGCTATTAGATATAATTGGGGGATATCTTGACATTATATATGGTGAAGTGATATACTGTAGCAGGGCAGTATAATAATATTGTTCATGTTATATTGAATATAAGAAGGTAGGCTATCCAGAGAATATCCCCTGCTTCTTTCTCAATTTTTTTTTTTCTCTTCTTCTCAATCATTTTTCTCTCAACTGTGATTCCAAGTTGGTATCAGAACCATTTTTTCCTTAATGTGATAGACTTGATGTCTGGACTTTGTGACAGTCATCATGGTACCTTGATGACATCATCACTGTACAGATGTCAAATGGAAAAGTAGGGTGCTTATAGATCTTGATAGATGAGTAACTGTTGGTGCTATTGGACATTTTTTCATGACTTATTGAAGCATCTAGACCATTTTTGGATTGTTTCCTTGAAAACTCAAAAAAAAAAATCAGGAAACAACCTTCTTGTCAATGGAGCAGTCAAGAGAGATTTGTTTTGAATGAGATTGGTAGATCCTATTTTGCCTAATATTGGGGTCATCCAGAAGTGATCTCATGCTTTTTGGCTGAGTTAGGAGCCTTTGGTGGTCTGATTTGTAGACCACATTTACTGCCTGACCCATGTTCTTAAAGAGATGAGTGGCTTTATGGGAATTATGATGAACATCTGTAGTACTCACCAACAGTTCCGGACTTATTTTCTGGTGTGTTTTAAGTGCTATCAGACCAAGTGATGCTCATGTGTGGACCACGGAAGGCCTGATAAACCTATATTGAGGTAATAAGGCTACGATAAGTATTGCTCACAATCCAGCACAACATAACAGAACAAAACACATTGAGGTGGACAGGCATTTTATTAGAGAAAAGGTTGCCTTCAAGGATATCTGTTTAACTTTTGTGCGAATGGTGGTCAACTTGCACATATTCTTACAGAAGTTGTAGGTAAGTCAAAGACAACTAATTACTATACTCAATGAGTTGGGCATATGTGAAAGGGGGGTGTTGGGTGTAACTGGGAGCTATCTTAATGTTATACATGGTGATGTACTGTGGCAGGGGCAGTTTCGTAATTGCACTGTTCATGTTATATTAAACAAAAAAGGAAATAGGCTGTTGAGAGATCAGTTAAACTTGCTCGCCTCCCCAAATTGAACTTCAATTGCCTAATTTCCAACTTGGTAAAGTTTTACCAAGATGGGTCTGAGGTATTGGTTTTACATAGATAGATATGAGGAGTTGGCTTAATTCCATTGTGAGGATTGGCCACCCTCATTTGGCTTTCACCTGTTTTCCCCCAAAAACTATTCCTTTCCTTCATCTTCTCTTCTTTCTTTCATTCAATCATTTTCTCAATTTCTACTTAAAAATTTTAAAGTATCAAAGGTATTTACAATTTCAGCTCCTGAATGAAGAAACAGAAAGATAAAGATGGTGTGTGTGACTGTGTGCCTAACCTTTAATGCTGCATCATTAAGTTGCAGCTTTTCTAATGCATCCCGTAGCTCAGGAAACCTACAAACAGAATAGACATGGAAGCATTTATAGCAGCAAAATCTTGAAGCACATTTAAGTCTAAGCCAAGAGATGCAGATGAGGAGCACAAGACAGTACTGGTCAGCATCAACAGGAAACAGGCCACAGAACACCATTGGAGTGGCTTCCTCGTATCCAGGCAGTGAATTTTCTGCTTTTCTAGTATAGTGAGTGATAGTATCCCCCACCCTGGCATCTGCTACTGTTCTTATAGAGGCTGAGAGATAGCCCACCTAAAGGCACATGAGAAGAGGAAAAATAAATTAACACTTAGAAATGAGAAATGAGTTTTGAAAGCAAAGACAAACAATATATAGTGACTTACCATAAGTCCTCATAAATGATTATTAGATTTATTGATGATAGTTAAAACTTAGAGGTTGGAAGAAACTTTCAACTATTCTACATGTAGAAGATGAATTAATTTCTGTACTCAAGATGCAGTCCTGTAGGTTATTAAAGCAAAGAACTAGAATGGATTAAAAAGGAAATTAGATCATAAACAGAAGAAAAAGGACAGCAGTCCTGGTTATACACTAGGAATAGATAAAAACCTCCCATTTCCCGGAAAAAAAAAAAAGAAAGAAAGTTGAAATACATAAAAGTAGTGCATTTTGCAATTAAAATATATAAACAAGTCTTAATTTTTGAAAATAGACTTTTTTGGGGTCCTTAGAGGGTGTATATGTTGAACAGAAACACCTATATATATATACCCTAAACTTTATGGGTAAATTGCAGAAAGGAGGAAGCTAGGGATGACCCAAAAACTTATGGCAAAAGAAAGATCAATTGATGAAGAGAGTTTGGTATTGAGAGTTTTAGTAGTAAGAAGACAAGGAAAGGTCAAAGTAATAAATGCTTTTCAACCAAGATATTGCACATAAAGATAAAACCCTTGTTGGGAGCTCTTTCATGTACTAATTTCCGATCTGCTTATTGGAAGCTTTGGTTATGTGGGGTGTATTATAATTGAGAATAAAAGAGAAAAAGAGGAGGCAAGAGGAGGGAAAAAGGTAGGGAGATCTGTCTTACACGGTAGAAAACAAGAAGAAAGTAAAAGGCCTAGGAAGAAGATATGCACTTGTCTTCTTCAACCTATCAACCTACACTGTTATTCCCTTCATTAGAACATGCAAAAATATAAAAATGCCCTTAACAAGGGAACTACAAAGCTATAGAAAATGATAAAAATGCCCCTTATAGGCAAACATTTCAACCCCCCCCCCTCAAGCTGGAGTAAATGTATCATAGATCTCCTACTTGTTACAAATATAATCCATCCTGGTACGGCACAAGCCCTTGGTAAACATATTTGCCAGCTGTTCTTCTAATTTGACATAAGGAGTCACAATATCACCATTTGTCACTGTTTCTCTCACAAAATGACAATCAACTTTTATATGTTTGGTCCTTTAATGGAAAACCGGGTTGGAAGCAATATGAATAGTGGCTTGATTATCACAAAACAACTTGTCAAGCTTCCCTATAAAATACCCATCTCTTGAAAAAGATGATTCAGCCATGTCAACTCACAAGTGGTGTGGGTCATTGCTCTATACTCAACTTCAGCACTACTTCTAGCAACTACACTTTGCTTTTTACTTTTCCAAGTAATCAGATTGATACATAAAAAGGTATAATACCTTGTAGTAGACCTCCTGCCCAATCTGCATTGAAATATCCCTCTAAGGTTAACTCTCCCCCTTTCTTGTATAGTAATCCCCGGCCTAAAGAACCTTTCAGGTATCTCAATACTCTTACAACACCTTCCCAGTGAATGACTGTGGGATTCTACATGAACTAACTCAGAACCCCTACACAGAAGGAGATATCAGGACGGGTTATGATGAGATAAATTAGTTTGCCAACTAATCTCTTGTACCTTCCAAGATCATTGAATGGCTCCCCTGACTATCAGTCATTTTCACATTAGGATCTATAGGGGTCTCAACTGGTTTAGCCCCTAGTAGACCGATCTCATCCAACAAATCTATGACATACTCGCATCGTGACAAAGAGATTCTCCACTTCGAGCAGGCTACATCAACACCCAGGAAATACTTCAAGGATCCTAAATCATTGATTTGAAAGTGTTATAGCAAAAATTATTTTAAATCATTAACCCCACTAATATCACTGCCAATAATAATTATGTCATCAACATAAACTGCCAAAATGATCTTCCCAGATGTGGTATCCCTATTGAAGACTGAATGATCAAGTCCACATTTCTTGAGACCTGTTAGAGAATATCAAACTATTCAAGGACCTCACCTAACAACTTGAGCTTTTAGGTTGAGTGGTTCTTTGAGATGGTATCAGAGCCACTTTGACCAAATGGTCTAGTGTTCAATCCTCATTACCCCCATTATAATTAATTAAGTTTCACCACAAGGTATGGGTGGGCCTATGCTTGTTCACACTTCAAGCCCAATGGGCTTTCATGTGAGGGGGTGTGTTAGAGAATATCAACCTATTCAAGGGCCTCACCTAACAGCTTAAGCTTTTAGGTTGAGTGGTTCTTTGAGAAGACCAAACTCCTAAACACCACTACTAAACCTACCAAACCAGGCCCGTGGTAATTGCTTAAGTCCATAGATTGCCTTGCGCAACTAACATACCAAACCAGCCTCTCCCTGAGCAACATACCCAGGAGGTTGCTCCATGTGCACCTCCTCTTGAAGATCACCATTAAGGAAGGCATTCTTAACATCAAGCTAGTACAACAGCCAATCAAAATGGACAGCAAGAAAAGTAATAACTCGTATAGATTACAACTTAGCCACTAGGGGTAAGGTCTCAAAGTAATCAATACTACCATCTTGTATGTGTTTGATCATATACACCCACCTACAACCAATTGCCTATTTTCCAATAGGTAAGAAGGTAAGGTCCTATGTGTGGTTAGACTGGAGAGCTTAAAATTCATCATCCATTGCTTTCTTCCAATCAGGTGAGGCAAGAGCTTCCTAAACAAACCTAGAGACAGATACAAGAAATAGAAGAGACACAAATTTCTTATGTGTGGTAGACAAATGAACAAGAGAGCAATAATGAGAGATGGGATGGTCAATAAAAGTACATTTGCCCTTACGTAAAGCAATGGGAAGATCAAAACTTGGAAGAGGATCTATCAATGGCTCAATGTTGGTGGAGAGGTGGAAGATAGAGTTTGAGCCGGTGTACAAACTAGTGCAAACTCCCAAGCATGTCCGACGTACACCTTATGAATTGATGGTTGAATGGGCTCCTCAATAATGGGAGTAGAAATCTACTGAAAAAAAAAAAAACTATAGAAAAAGAGGAAGTAAAGTATAAGGTTTTATGAGAAGAGGAAGAAGAAGAAAAAGAAAAAAGGAAGAGAAAGCAATCACTTCTAGCCACCCTCTTCCATTTGTATTTATACCCCCTCTCTTACGAAGTGCCTATCAACTTCAATATGTTTTGTCATGTCATGTTGAACTAGGTTGTGGGCAATATTGATTGCAATTTCGTTGTCACAGTATAACCATGGTTCAAAGTATCGATACACCCCTGTGTATTGGTAGGGGTGTATTGGTACTAAAAAATATCTGCTCAATGGGTTTTTTTTAGTTTTTTTTTTCAAAATTTGATTTTTAAAGATGTTTTTTAATGGTTTTTTTACTAAAATAAATGAGGGTCCCGAAACACTTGTAAATAGGTGTATCAAAACCAAAAGATACAATACGATACGTCCGATACAAGGCGTATCGTATCGATACTTTGAACCTTGAGTATAACATCATAGGCCCCTTTGCATCAATCCCAATCTCACCCAACAGGGACCTAATCCAAAGCAACTCTGAAACACCATGGGTTTGGCCTATAATCAGATTGGACTCATCTAAATCCGAGTTCGATTCAACAAGATATTAGTTGCATCTGACTCCAATCCAAAATCCGATCAGATTGTGTGCAAGGCATCCAAGTTCAAAACCGATCGGACTTTTTGGATTTTGGATTTTAATCTGACTAATGCTACTATAGATCTGTAAAACTTGAATTTTTATTTCAAAAGTTTTGAAATAAAACAATTCTTCACTTGAAAAAGAGTAATTTATTCAGAAAAAACAAGAATAAGAGATCAAATTAAACATGTAAGGTTACTGATTAAATTAAACATGTAATTTGTAATCTGTAATATATAACCACTTTTAATTTGTATATTGTAAGGTAAGTTAAACCTGTAATCTGTAATATATAATTGATCTATCAAAATAAAACAAAAAAAAAGAATTACTTTGTACAGAGAGCAAGAACAAAAGCCTAGCCTAGTTACAACTAAAGGAAGAAACCAAATAACAAAACAAGAAAAAAATTATCAAACAAAATAATCAAAATAAAAAATAAGGATTAAGGAACTTGCCGTTATCTTTAGTTCAGAGAATGAGAAGATTGTGTTCGGACTTCAATTGCAGAGAGGGGAATGGCGAGAATGAAGAAAAGGGTGGAATAAAGAACAACGAGTCGACAACGACAACAGCGAGAGTTGTAGTCTTGTAATCTTGTTGGTTGTTGCAGAGAGTGAGAGTTGAGAGAGGAGAGAACGACAACAAGGCGACGGTGAGAGTTGTAATCTTGCAATCTTGTTGGTTGTTATAGAGAGTGAAAGTTGGGAGAGGAGAAAACAGTAGCAAGGCGATAGCGAGATAGAAGAAAACCTGGGTTGAGAAGAAAATGTTGACTGATTTAGGGTTTAGGGCTGATCGACTGGGGGTTTGAGGAACAAATTTCCTTATTTACCCCCAAGAGATTTTATTTATTACATTAATGTATAAAAAAAATATAATATATAATATATAAATACATATAAAATATATATATATATATTAACTTATATATCAGACTCGGATTTTTTATCGGATCAGATGGGAGTGAATCCAAGTTCGATCCGATTTTTAATCAAATTCTACTTCTACCATTCGAATTCGATCCAATATGACATTTACCCCATCCAAATCCGAGATTACCAGATCGGGTCGTGGGTTTACGGGTATCATTGACAAGCCTAACCATGGGCCATAGACTTGTACTCTACTTCTGCACTTGACCTTGCCACCACTGATTGTTTCATACTTTTCCATGTAACCAAATTTCCTCCCACAAAGGAATATACTCCTGATGTATATCTCCTATCATCTAGGCAACCTACCCAATCTGCATCTGTGTAGGCTTCAAATTTCAAGTTCCCATGATCAGTAAATAAAATCCCTCTGCTAGGATGTTTCTTTAGGTATGCAAGTATCCTATCAATGGCCTCCCAGTGTTGAACCCRAGGAGCATGCATATACTGACTCACAACACTTACAACATAAGAAATGTTTGGATGTGTCATGAACAAATATAGCAGTCGACCTACCATTTTCTAATATCTCCCTACATCCTTAACAAACTCACCATCTAAATCATTAATCTTGTGGTTCTAGTCAATAGGAGTATCAGCTGGTTTAACTCCTACTTCCTTTAATGGTTAAATATCCTATGTTGGACCTTGCAACCTCAAACCCAAGAAAATATTTCAGCTCACCTAGTTCCTTAATTCCAAATTCCTACCGCAGTGACTTCTTGAGTGCATCAATCTCATTCAAATCATTCCTTATAACTATATCATCCGCATACACGATCAGCACTGACACAAGTTATTCTCCTCTTCAGAAAGAAAGTGTCATCCAATTGGGTTTACGTGTATCCAAAACTGATTAATGCCCCCTAAAACTATCAAACCATGTTCTAGGTGACTGCTTCGGACCATATAATGACTTCTTCAGCCTTCAAACCTTTCCTTCACCAACATCCTTATAAAATCCAGCTAGAAGGTCCATATACACCTCTTGTAAATCACCATTAAGGAAAGAATTTTTGACATCAAGCTGGAAGAGTGGCCATGAGTAAGTAGCTGCTAAAGACAAAATGATCCAAATTGAGCTCATCTTAGCCACTAGTGCAAAGGTCTCTAGATAATCTATACCATAGGTTCGTGTATACCCTTCTACAATCAACCTTTCCTTGTACCTCTCTATACTGCCATCAGCCCTATACTTCACAGTGAACACCCATCTACACTCAAATGTCTCCTCTGTAGGAAGATCAACTATTTCCCATGTTTGATTCTTAATCAAAGCCTCCATTTATTCTTGCATAGTTGTTCTCCACTCAGGTTTAGAGAGAGCCTCACCAACAATCCTACAGAGAAAGGAAGAAAGGAAAGTATGGTAGAAGGGAGATAGGCTATTGTAGGAAAGATGGTGTGAAATGCAACGGGCAATACAATTTCTCGTTCCCTTACAGAAATAGCATCAATAGGATCAGAAGCGATAGCACACTCAACTGACCTAGAACTCATAGTTTTCAAGGTGCCAAGACGAGGATAGGTGACATGGGGGGCCTTGTCGCCTAGTTGCCTAGGCGATGGATTTTTTTAAGTAAACAACACGTATCCAAGGGTAGTTCCCTAGGTTCTATAACCATATATATATATATATATATGGACTCAAATAAGGTAACATCCATAGTGACAAACCTACACCCCAACTTAGTACACCATCACAAACACCTTAAACAACCAACTCAAGGCACTAAAACCTCTTTTCCTAAGGGACAGTCAGTCCTTTTAAGTCCCTTTAGCTGCTTGTCTCGAAAAGGAGTTCTCAACTCCTAGGGCAAAAAAAGAGGTGTGAACAGTAACCAACAAGTTCAGTGCTCTGATAACATATTTCAACAGGGTAGACCAGTTCCACCCAATATTAGAGATTTTTTGTTGGGAGGTCTTTCATGTGAAAATTAGTAGTTGTGAACATCCTCAAATAAAAAGGCCAAATTGGTTTAGCTAGACTTGGCATGGATAGGGATTTATTATCGCAAAAGCTCAATGCCTTAGGAGTTGAGTTCTTGTCAGTAGGTCGGTCTCTCTGATCATAAATTTGATGCATGCTTCCTACTTCTGTAAACCATTTTACATTCTCTCATTTACACTTTTCATTTCATACAAAAACAAGCTCATTGCCTCCTCAAGAAAAGGAAAAAGAAGAGAAAGGTAGATTCAAATTTGTGTCTAACCACACTCTAGCCTTGTTAATCAGAACTATGCCCATCCACAAACAATTTACACAATACAGCTTCTCCGAAAAATGCTTGGTCAACCCATCCACAATTGATGCAAACAATTATGGCCTAAGCATTGAAATGTTAACTGAAACTCAGTATTCTTTTTCTCTACCCTAGTTGGTCTAGCACTAGTAATTGCCATTGCCTCCAATAGGGACCCTATGATACAATCCCCCTAAATCTACAAATACAAGTAAAAGACCTCCTTCTCTCTGTCAATTTATCTATTCATCCATCATCTAACTAACAAGATTGCTTCTGCTCTAATTTTCTTAGCACAAGGCCTAGTTTATTTTCCCATACAATTGTTCCGTCCTACGGTAATTGGTACAAACTTTTGCGATTAAACTTATGAATTTTAGACAGTAATAAAACCTACATTCTTACATGCTTTAAATCATATCTAAAAATTTCTGTCAACTACCTATTTAGATTTTGGAAGCACAATAACCAGTTCTAGAGGAAGAAACAAAAATGTTTCCAGCTCAAGATATATCAGATAATTCATCGCAATCCCATATACAAGAAATTTCCAGGTTACCTTGTTTTCATAGTCAAATGACAACAGAGATCTCCAGAAAAGGCAAAAAAAGATATGCAATATTCCCAAGGAAGAAACAAAAAAGTTTCCAGCTCAAGATATATCAGATAATTCATAACAATCCCGTGTACAATACATTTCCCGATTATCTTGTTTTCATAGTCAAATGACAACAGAGATCTCTAGAAAAGGCAAAAAAAGATATGCAATCAAGACAGTAATATTTTTTTCTTCTTTTATGATCAAGGCAATAGTAATTTTTTCTATCTTCTCATTTTAAATAAAATTTCTAGTAATTCGATCCGAACAGAAAAAAAAAAAAGAGAAAAAATAAAAGAAGATGACATCACATTTCAAACTAAAAACACTCTATACTTGTTTACCTCACCAGCATAGAGTTCATCAACCTGTAGTTGATTGGGTGATAAAACACCTATTTCATCAGCATAATAATCCTGTAATAAGCAAATAAAATAACTTTGAGATTAACATAGAGGATACAATTACAATACACCAAAATTAGTGAAATATAGAAAACTAAAGTATGCTATGTACTAAAGCTCTATATATATTATCACATTGCTTGCTCATCCTATTAGAGTATCTGGCAAGAGAGAAACTCTGGCATATTTGAAGACAGTGCTCAATCCATCTAAGTGCTCACTGCAGGCAGGTAGCACATCAGATCATAACTGTCAACATGTTCCATAAGATCTCAGTGGAGTCTATTTTATACAAGTAATTAACAATCTCTAGGACAGAACCATCTCAATGTAAGATTTGGGTACAGTCAACCACTCCCCTCTCCCCCTAACCAGGGCATCATCAAACTTAGTTCTGATGATTATTGGGAACCCTGGGCCCAAAGGGTGGACAAGTGTTGCATAAAATCTCCCAAATGGTTGCAGTTTCCTAGAGGAACGCATGTCAGATTCCAATATTCCATATATTGTTTAGAGAGGATTCTACATAACATTTTTCATTTCTTCCTTGCTTATTTTCATACAAGTAAACAGATAATGTACATGATAAGTCTCATTTTTCCTATATTACATTATGTAAGTAACAAAGATCAACTTTTAGGCCTTTTTCTATAGGTATATAATGTTGGAATTCAAAATATATGAACTACAACTTTTTGACAGTACATAAATAAAAAATATAATATTAAAAAGAAAAATAGAACGCAAGAAGTGAGCCTTGTAGCAGAACCAAAAAAACAGTCAAATTCAAAATATACAAATATACAACAGCCCCCACAATCTCAACACTGCCAGTACTACAAAAAAACCTGCACCCATTTCCACAAAAAAGCAACACAGTGCTTATTCACTGAGAAACCTAAACCTCAGCTACCAAAAACCTATAATCCCTTGTTCAATCACCTTGTTTCAGGGGACTCCCTCGCAAGTACAGTTCCACAAACCATGCAGCCTGTTTTTTGCCACTGTCACCTCTTCCTCTACCCCTAACACTCTTGGAGGCTCCCATCCCTAGTGAAGTTGGGGGATATAAACTCTTAAATAGCACCATGTTCTCTTTCTTTTTTTTCCTTTTATTTGATCACCTTTGGATCTAACCACTCAGAATTCTCAATGTCGTACCTCACTCTGAGTTTCAAAACCTCCAATTGATAGCTCCTTGCTTGCAGCCTCTCTCTACTGCCTCTCCGTTTCTTCAAGCCTTCTAAGCAAGCTCCAGAGCACTTCCATTATGTTCTTATGCAGGTAGAGGTGCAAAACGGAAGTGCCACCTGCAGGCTGGCAGCCGGCTAGCTACAGTGACGAGCCATGCTTGGAATGGCATGGCCCGCTAGGCCTGAGCCTTGGGCCATGTCAGGCTTCCTTTTTGGGGAATTCATGCCAAGCAGGCATGGCCCACCAGGCCCATGGGTTGGCCCGCTACAATGCAGATGGCCTGCAAAAGTGGGTTGTGCCGGTCCACCCCACATTACACCTCTATTTGGAGGTTGGATACAAAAAAAATGCTCATGATTCATCTTTATTCATCCATTGTGATCAACAAGGTCTTACTCTTTTTCTCATATATGCGTATGGCATTCTTATTACAGGTGATGATGGAGATGGCATTCAACAACTTAAGTTATTACTCCAAAAATCCTTCAAAATGAAGGATCCTAGACGTACTCTCTTGGATTAAAGGTCCACTCATCATCCCATGACCACTTTGTGAAGTGAAGGAAATATATCTTGGACCGAGATGTGATTTAATCCAATAAAATTCTACAAAAAAATTTCAGATTTAAGCAAAGAAAGAAAAGGAAGAGGATGACATCAAGAAAGAAGAAGAATAAGATGGAGAAGGGAGAAAGAAGAAGAGTATGATGTTCTCCTCTTCTACCTCTCTTAACTTTTACTAATCTTACTAAAACTAATCAAATTACAAGTCTGCCCTTAAGTGGGCGGCCAGCTCATCAATCTATTTAAGAAAAAACATAAAAAGGATTAATAGGCCCATGAAGGAAAAGCCCATTAACAAACAAAGCAACTAGGAAGAACAATAACAAGACAATAATGGGCTAGGGCCCATTCGGCCCAATCTCTACACTCCCCCTCAAGCTGAACATAGATATCAATCATGCCCAACTTGCTTATATAGTGTATAATGTTTTTCTTTGGGAACACCTTATGTCAAAACATCAGCCCAACTGTTCTTCATAAGCAATAAATGGCAGGCAAACTTCTCCTAAAGCAGCCATCTCCTGTATAAAATGCCTATCAACCTCTATGTGCTTAGTTATGTCATGCTAAGCAGGATTATGTGCAATGTTGATAGCGGACTGGTTGTCACAATATAGCACCATTGGCTTCTCAGGGTCAATATCCAATTCTCCTAAAGATCTCAGCCACAATAGTTTTGAAACTCCATGTGCATGCACTATACTCTGCTTCAACCAAGGATCTAGCCACTACAAATTGCTTTTTAGTCCTCCATGACACAATGTTCCCTGCCACCATAGCACAGTAACCTGAAGTGGATCTCCTATCATCCATATATCTAGCCCAGCCAACATCAGTGTATGCTCCCAACTTCATGTGTCCATGCTTAGCAAACAAAATACCCTTCCCTGGAATCCCTTTCAGGTAACACAAAACCCTCTCCGTAGCTGCTAAATGTGTATCTCTAGGAGAATGCATGAACTGACTTAAGACACTAACTGCATAGGAAATATCTGATCAAGTCATACAAAGATATAACAACTTCCCAAGCAATGTCTAGAACACTCTCCTATCAGTCAACAATTCACCATTAGTAGCTGAAAGCTTGTGATTTAGGTCTATAGGAGTGGAAGCTAGTTTAGCACCTAGTTTGAGAAATGAAGATACCATCCTTAAACCAAGCAACTTCAATTCCCAAGAAATATATGAGTTCACCTAAGTCTTTGATCTCAAACTCAGTGGTAAGAAATCTTTTGAGATTAATCACTTCTTAAGTGTTATCATCAGTACCCCAATGTCATCAACATAAACAATCTTAAGGGTCACCAAGGAGTCTCTCCTCGTAACAAAGAGGGCATGATCAAACTGAGTTTGTGTGTAACCAAAATTAATAAGGGCAGCCCGGAAACTCTCAAACCGGGCTCTAAGAGATTGCTTGAGGCCATAAAGAGGCTTCCTCAATTTACACACTTCGCCTTGCATTTCCTTCCCATACACCCCTAGAGGTAAAGACATATAGACCTCTTCATGTAAGTCTCCATTCAAGATAGCATTTTTAACATCAAGTTGATAAAGTGGCCAATCAAAGGTAGTAGCTAGAAATAGCAAAACCTGAAATGAAGTGATTTTAGCCATAGGGGCAAAAGTCTCTAGGTAATCAATACCATACATTTGGGTGTATCCTTTAGCGACTAAACGAGCCTTAAACCTCTCAATAGTACCATTAGATGATACTTAATAGTGAACATCCACTTACAAACAACTAGTTCCTTCCCCTTAGGCAAGTCCACAATTTTCCAAGTATTGTTCTTATGAAAAGCATCTAGCTCAGTCATCATAGCATCCCTCCATTCTGGTTTGGTTATTCCGAGATAGACCTGGGAATTGCATGTTTAGAAACAGAGGCAAGAAAGGAGTAACAGGTAGGAAAAGAAGGTTGTAGGATAGGTGTTTGGAAGTGCAATGGGTTGTACACTTTTGTTTGCCTTTGCGAAGGGCAATAGGAAGATCAAGGTCTGGGTCTGGGAAGCTATCAGAAGGGGTAGAGGAGGGTTTACCTACTACCTCAATAGTGATGGGAGGTGCAAGAAGCTCAATTGAAGAAGGGGAAACAACTTGCTCATACCTAAGTCTTTGTCTTTGGTACCTACCACCTTTGGACAATAGGATAAGAAGTAAACGTGGGAGGATGAGTTGGAGGAGGAGGGGGAGCAAGAACACGTGAAGGAGACTCAATAGAACACTCAAGAGGAACCAAAGAGGAACAGCCGGGGAAATAGCAAATAACTCCTCTAAATGCTCTCCCTCAGGAGAAGTACCAAACAAAGGGATGGACTCTGCAAATGCGACATCCATGGACACAAAGCGGGTGCCACAAACTGGATCAAAATAGCAATATTCCTTTTGTATAGAGGCATATCCTAGGAAGACACATTTGTGTGCTTTAGGCTCGAACTTATGTCTTTGATGACTGTGAACATGAACATAACAAGTGCACCCAAAAACTTGGAGAGGAAGAGAGAAGAGATCCTCATATGGAAAGAGGAGGCTAAAGGGGTTTTAAAACCCAGAACCCAGGAAGCCATACAGTTTATCAAGTATGTAGCTATGAGAAGAAAAAAAGGAAGCTTCTAGCAACTTCAATCGCATGACAGTTCTTCCTTTCCGCCACTCTATTTTGTTGTGGAGTGTAGGAACAAGAACCCTGATGTATAATCCCAAAGGAATCAATGTAGGATGTAAGGTTCTTCTAAAAATATTCCTTAGCACTATCATATCGGAATATTTTGATCCGAGTGTTAAATTGGGTAAGGATAAGTTCATGGAATTTTTGCACAATAATTGGCACTTCATCCCGGGATCTCATACGGTAAATCCAAGTATAGCGAGAGAAATCATCAACGAAAAGGATAAAATACTTGTAACCCCCCATAGAAGATAAATGATATGGCCCCCACACAATATGGAAAGGAGAAACTGATCTTTTACTACTCATTGAATAAGACTATCTACAATGTTTTGCTCACATGACTCGCAATGAAGACTCAACAAGGATATTCCCTTAAACATCTCTGGAAATAAATGACTCAAAGCAAAAAAAGGCAAATGACCAAATCTTAAATGACATAACATGACTCTATCAACTGACTCTAATGAAATAGACTCCAAAGCAACTCCACTAGGTGGTCCAAGAATTCGATCAGGTGTATTCAGCAAGTAAATTTCGTTTGCCTCATGGCCACTCCCAGTCATCCTCTAAGATTTTAGGTCCTGAA